GTTGAAGGAAGGCGATGAGCGAACGAAAGCCATGTTCTTGCTAGCAATGCTGGATATGCAGCAAAGTAAACCGATGAGGGTGAACATGAAAGAACCTGAAGAATTGGAACCCATGAAAAAGATAGACGAGATCAGGAGATTCTCGAACAAGGAGTTGAGGCTCACTAAAGAGTCTATGGGAGCATTGCCAAAATCCAGTGAATACTGTGGACCGATCAAGAAGAAGTCATATAGCTATGTGTCCGGGATTATAGGGATAGCATACAATCCTTTCCTGAGTGAAGACATACGTGATTGCTTCTTTGATTATGAGCAGGCGGTGTTACTAAGATTCTGGACGTCCAGAATTGTGACGACTAAGAGCGTTAACAATCCACAGGCCAAATTGGGATTGGTCTTGGAAGAAGAGGTGACTGCACCTTCAGTACCAAAATTCGACAAGAGAGTGGAATTTGGGTTGGGATTCTCAGATGAATTACTGAGAACGAGCTTGATGGCAGTGTGGGAATTGATGAAGCCATCGTGGTGTCCTAGTCCCAACGCTGACTCAATATTACGGGCGACACAGGACATACAGAGGGAACTGAATGCGGACTGTAACCTGCGTGACCTCAACATCATATATAATGTGATGATAACAGCCTCTAAGAGCAACGGAGAAGATAGAGTGGAGTTGCCTGGCTGGGGACCAGAAGACTGGGTCAAACCTGGTAGCTGTCTGGCGGAAGTCTGTGGACTAGAGGGTCACGTTTGTGGAAGTCTAGACTGTGTGAAAACCCTGGAGAAACAACACAAGCAGTTGACGGTATTGTTTGGAAATGTAGTGATGAAAGCAAGAACGGAAACGGAACTGATAGCAGATTGCCATGGAGGAACCGATGTGAATCTAGTGACAGCACTAGGATTCTACAGCATGTTTGGTTCTTTAGAGTCACTATTGAATCTAGAACAGAAACATGAGATGGTCACAGCCATCAGCGTAGAAGTATTCCCAGGAGTTCTGCAGACTGAGCAGAAGTATATAGGAAAATGGAGGGAAGCAATCGAAACGGAGATGAACATCAGACACAGCGAAACTTATTGTAGACCATCAGGAGCACGATATTTGATGGGTTCAATGTTGGCTCCAATGTGCAAGAGCAAGTATCCTGTACATTTCGTAGCTGTGGATGTGAAGAGTACAAGAACGATTGTGGATCAAGCCTTTTCAGTGCCGAAGTGCGTGAGGTTGGCAAGAATGTCGGAAAAGTCTTACGAGTTACTGTGTAAGATTTTCTCAGCAGTTCCAGAAAGAACCAAAGAGGAGTTGGAGTCAATACTAGGAAAGAAGTTCATGGGATATGTGAGCGGGAACTTCAGTGACTTTGAAAAACAGAAACAGAGAGGATCAACTGTCACAGATTACAATGCAGTAGATGAGAATGATGAGATCCACCGAGTGATGATGGAAGTGGAGCCATTGCTGGAAGCTTCGGGAAAACGGAATTGGAGGAGCATCATGTTGACACATGACGAGTTTCCTTGCCACTGCTTGCTGCAGACCTGGTGGTATCCCAAGCGTAGTAATCTGGTGTTGATCTGGGACTCTGGAGAGCTGCTCTCCATGGGTTTACCAGATTCATCACAGCCCATAACAATAGTGATAGTGGGAGTTATGATGGCGATACGATGGCTGGAAGCTCATGTGAGAGAAAATAATAGACAGGAGGCACCGACGAGAGAACAATTGCAGAAATTAGATTGTCTAAAAGATTTAGATCTTTTTGAGACAATGTGCAAAGTTCTAAACATTCCGATGGAAGTGAAGAAGATATGGGCAAGAAAACGATTGATGCCATGGTTCAGAGCTAACATGACTGCATGGTTGTACGAGTATGCGAAAAAGCATATGTCGAAGCATGGCAGGGTATACAGTGAATATCAACTGGACATTGGGGCAGGAGCTTTCAAGCGAGCTTTCGTGACCCATCGGAATGCAGTGACCACCGCTGTGAAAAGAATTTCCAGGACGAGCGAGCGTAGTGGAAATGAGAAGGCAGAGATGCTGAAAGAAGATTTGGAGAGAAACGTGACGTTGTGTCTCCACAACAGCTTCTGTAGAAACAGAGAATCAAACGTGGATCCCCTACCTTGCTGTAAACAGAGGGTGGAAGAGCAGAAGTGTTGGAGGACGGCTTCCAACAGCGTCAGGATAGTCAATGACGTGCTACAAGACACGGAAACCGAGAGTGCGGAGTCAGTGTCACAGGAGGAGGAAATGGAGCATTGACGAATGGTCGAGAAAACAAGAGGCAGCAAGAAAGAAAATTAGAAGAATTTAGAAGTTTTAGAACTTCTAAACGACGAAAAAAGAAGAGAACAAAGGGATGATGAAGAAAAGTTAAAACTCAGAATTGTTTTATGTGTGTGAAAAACTCAAGTGAGAAACCAAGCAACCAAGTTGTAATTGAAAACTGAAACATTTAAGTTGAGTTTGGAAATTGTTGCATTTATAAATTTGCATTTTGGTTTTAGTTGAAGTGGCTTTAGAGACACTCACTTATTATTTATTTAGAAAGGCTTGAGGGAAGAGTATATTTAAATATTCCAGCCTGCATGATTGTTTTTAATCACTTAGGAAGACTGATAACTTTGTGGTGACATGAAAAACTTGAGTAACTTCTTGAGGAGGGAGGTTGTTGCATTGTTCTTTCTAACCACAAAGTTTCTTAGTTTTAATACTCAGGACAATAGGCAAGCAAGATTTCCGAAGGGAAGGAGCATAGTAGGATAATTTTAGCTTGTTGGTTGGCAGGACTGTCCTGCAAGCCAACACCTTTTAAATCTAGGAGAAAAAGTTTCAATCGGGATATTGACACTGGAAGTCAGAAAATATGTTTTATCTTAAGTCATATCCTCAATGTGCAGATTAATGAAAGAATTTGAAGGCTATAGTGATGTAGTATGATGCCATTTATATTCTGCAGTGAGTCGATGTGACGTAGGTAAAAGTAATTTCGTGCATTTTGTAAATTCTGTTCGATGACACTGTAACCATTTAGAACATTGCGCGATTCAATGAGGACATTGACCGGACTGTCCGGGGAGTATGTGACATTCGACCAGAATGGCCAAAATGCAGTCTCTGCAGAATTCAGGATTTTAGCAGTGAACCTTCCGGATTGGCGATTTAGAACGGATAAGGACGTTATTTGAATGATTGGCCAAACGGTGAAGGCTAGAAGATTCTGGAATTCTAAATTTTAAATTTTCGAAGTGATGACGTAACATTTCTGAGAAATGTTAAAACGGCCATTTTGGCTAAAATAGCAGAAAGAAACAGAACAACTTTATCTGCGATTACGAACAGTACGAAAATCGAGACTAAAAAACAACAACGAACTACCAAACAGCAGAGGACGTTCCGAGTTGCAACTATTGTGCTGTTACAATAGTTGCAAGGCCGTTGCGAACAACGGTGAAGGGTAAAAACCAGCCCTCCGAGTTAGCGTGAACCTGAGGTTAAGGAGCTTGATTCGCCGGATTCAAGAATCCGGAAGGGTCTCGGGACGGGAACTTTTATGAACTTGTATTGAATTTTAGCATCCTGTCATGTCCTGACTTGAATTTAACTGATATTTTGATTAGTTTTGACAAGGATGAGGTGCTAGGAGTTGGGGGGAAAGGGTTGATCCATCTTCGATGGAGATGATGATTTTTATCTACTGAACAAAAACAATAGTAATATGATAAGTAGTAGCCCTGTTTTTAGGAGTGACCTCGTGGTCTGGGGATACAGAGACCCAGCCATGAGCTCACTAATTTTGCATGTAATTCAGTTAATTTGAGCGTTCTGGTCGAAGCCGGAGAACAGTAACGTTTTTTTCAGCCTGATGTAAGAAAGACCACCGAAAAGTACTGGCTTGGTAGAGACGGTGAAAAACATGCAAAGCTCTGTTTAGACGCTAGCCAGTCGTCTTAAGACTTAGTTTTGTTATCCGTCGATATGTATCTTCCGGGCGAATGTTACAAAAAAGGAAAGGGTCAATCCATCTCCAATGGATTTAATATAAAACTGTCACACAAAAACATAATAAAATAGGTTGTTCGAGCCGTGTTTTTAATGACAATCACGTAGTCTGAGGATCCGAGACTCAGCTATGTGGTTGTGTTCGCATGCAAACGAAAGCTGATCAAAAGTCGTTTGACTGATGGCCTAAAAATGGTAACTTTTTACTTTGCCCTAAACAGACCAGAAAATCAACTGGCAAGGTCGAGACGGTGAAAAACGAGTAGAATTAAGGTAACTGACGCCTGCCAGTCGTTGATAGGTACTTTTTCTACGCTCCGTCGCTGTGTGATATTTGGGCGAATGTTACAAATCTATAATAATAATAATTATATTCTTATATAATTATTATTATTATTATAGAGCCAAGGCTTTGTATTGCGCAGCTTTGTACAATAACATGTACAATTACGCAGCTTTGTACAATAACAAGGTAGACCCGTAGCCTCATATCAGTTCAAAATTTTTCGATTCTCTTTCAACTCCGGTTAATTCTGTGCAGTTGTTAGGTTTCTCAATCTGGTTGGCTTGATTTCCAATCAGCTGACTCTTTACTTTATCCACATTAGGGACTCCTGACTGTAACCTCGGTTACTATGATACTTTCAACCTTCTGATTACCACTACAGAGTTTTTTGTTTGGGTGAAATGGTTAAGGACAAGTGTAATAACAAGTGTGGTACGGCCCTATCCAACTTGTGCACGTACCGTCGCATGACGGAAGGGCCCATTTTAATTGACTTTTTTTTCTATCCACATTATACTTTACTCTTCCGTATCTAGAAAATTCCTAGGAATTTGACTGGAATATGTGATGAAGGGACTCCTGACTGTAACCTCGGTTACTATGATACTTTCAACCTTCTGATTACCACTACAGAGTTTTTTGTTTGGGTTAAATGCTGAAGGACAAGTGTAGAAACTTCACCCTTCTGATTTAACTTTTATAGCCATTTTCAGGATTGAATATGCCTAACAAGACCAAAAAGGGAAAGCATAGGAAAGACAAGTTTTATCATCTCGCCAAAGAAACTGGATATCGGGCAAGATCCGCCTTCAAACTTATTCAGTTGGATCGGAAACTGCGATTACTCGAATCCACACGTGTAGCCATTGATCTATGCGCAGCTCCAGGTGGATGGCTGCAGGTTCTTCAAAATTGCATGCCCGTTTCTAGCGTTATCATTGGAGTAGATCTCGTGCCTATTAAACCGATTCCGAATGTCATAACGATAATGGATGACATCACAACTGACAGTTGTGCCTCGGCTATATCAAGACATTTACAGTCATGGAAAGCGGATATAGTTCTCAACGATGGTGCTCCGAATGTAGGACAATCGTGGGCTCAGGATGCTTTTACGCAATCTCAGCTTACTCTGGCAGCTTTCAAGTTAGCAGCTAAATTTCTGGCTAAAGGCGGATGCTTTGTCACCAAAATTTTCCGCTCGAAAGATTATTTGGCTTTGAATTGGGCTTTCAAGCAATTATTTGTAAAAGTGAAAGCTACAAAGCCGCAAGCCTCACGAAATGAGAGTGCTGAAATCTACGTTATTTGCCAAAATTTCAAAGCACCGGATAAAATAGATCCAAAATTTTTCGACATCAAACATGTTTTCAAAGACATGGCAGATCCTGATTCAGCATCTGCTGCACCCGATAAATTGTTGGTTGGACAGCCTATCACCAAGCAAAATAAACCAAAGGCCATGGGTTACGAAGAGAATACTTTGTCGGTATACAAACCTGTTCCAGTGTCCACATTCCTGAAAGAGGAAAATTTCATCCCAATTTTGAACTCGTGCTCTGAGTTGAGATTGGATATGCCTGAAGTAGCTGAGCATGATTTGACAGTTCCTGAGATACAAGAATTTTGTAAAGACGTGCAGTTACTTGGGAAAAAAGACGTAAAAACTCTGCTCAAATGGCGCGCGAAAATGCGAACAGATTTTGCTGTGAAACTGGAAATAACTGGAGAGATAAATAAGGAACCGGTTCATTCTGATCAAGCCCCTCCATTGACTGAAGAAGAAAAAGAGGCACAATTGGAGGAATATCTGGCAAAAGCAGACAAAAAACGGAAGGCAAAACTGCGTGAACAGAAGATTAAACTGCGACAGAAAATGGCACTTGGTGCGACTGCCTTGATTGAAGAGGATGATACATTGTTTTCTCTCGGTCAAATGAAATCTAAAAAGCAATTCGATGCCTATGAAGGAGGAGTAGATGATGATAATACGCCACAGGTCGACCTGGAAGATTTGGAAGTAGAAAAATCTGCCAAAATGTTTGATAGAGCCAAACAAGACCACAGCAAGCGCAATGAATGGATGAAGGATCTCTATTCAGACGACGAAAGTTCCGGTTCCAGTTCTGACTCAGAAATCGACTTAGAGGACGAGGATCAGACAGGAGCAGCAGTCGAGCTGGCACCCCAGCCCAATCCACTCTTGGCAACTGGCAGTCAAACTTTGACAGCAAATGAACGCGCAAAACAGTGGTACGCGAGTCACGAAGTGTTCTCGGAAATGAATTTGAAAGACAATGCTAACTTGGACTTTTCTGACGACGAAATTGATGTAAAAAGTAAAAAGAAGGACAAGACGAACAACAAACAATTAGCCGAAAAGCAAGTGGATCCCGAAAAATTGAAAGCAGAAACTGCTGCAGCGACCAAAAAGGCACGAAGTATTGCTGAATTGGTTTCTGGAAAATCTAACAAAAGAAAACAGGTGTCATTTGAAAGCGAATTATCAGACGATGAGAATGATGATGATATTGGCGATAAAGATGAAAACGCGAGTTCAGATGATTCTTTAACTGAGTCAGAAACGGAAACAGATGTTGGTTCTTTAACTAAGAATCAAATGTTGAAAAGAAAGCTGACGCCTGAACAACTAGCCTTAGGGCATGAAATTGCATTTTCGGCCAAGCGGAGGCGTGAAATAATAGAGAAGGGGTTTCACAGGTTCACTTATCACGACGAAAATGAGTTGCCCAAGTGGTTCAAACACGAGGAAGATAGACACACAAAACCGATAATACCAGTGAGCAAAGAAATAGTTCAGATGTACAAAGAAAGACTGAAAGAGATTAACTCTAGGCCGATCAAAAAAGTGGCAGAAGCGAAGGCGAGGAAAAAAGCGAAAACAATGAAAAAATTAGAGAACATCAAAGGAAAAGCAGAAAAAATAGCGAATACTCAAGGAGCTTCAGAACGAGAGAAATTGTTACAAATCAAAGGTCTTTACAAAAAAGCGAAGGTCGATAAGAAATACAATAAAGAGAAAACGTATATAGTGACGAAAAAGAAGGGAACGAAGGCAGTTAATCCAAGCAAAAAGAAAAGCAAGAAGGGACCAGTTAAGTTCGTAGACAGAAGATTGAAAGCTGACAAATACAACACAAAACAGAAGGCGAAGAATGAGAAGAAAGGAAAGAAAACTAAAAGTGTTAAGCCACAGAAAGTGAACAAAATGCGACATATGAGGAAGAATAAAAAGCACTGATGTCTGCCTTGAATTTATTTTTTGAGCTTATTGCGAACAAACAGTTTTAGTCTTAGAGCTATCAGAGTTTTTGCATATAACCGATGAACGGGGCTTTATAAAAATATAAGTAATGAGCCGCATTTAAAAAAATCTTTTCAGATTACAATTTGGATGTATTCTTTTGATGGTACGTTCAAGTCTGCGCCACAGGTGTCGCTGGGGAACTACCAATCTGCAACTGCGAAAGACATCGTGAGGGCTTCCCGCCAGGCAAGAGAGACGCGAGAAAAATCAAGAAGTGCCGAAAAGGCTATCGTTAAATTACAGAGTTGGGCCAGGTCGTTTATATGCAGAGCACGTTTAGTAAGTGATTTTAGTTGTTGAAAGGTCATGCAATGAGCTTAATAACGAACTGCAATATCATCAAGTGTTTTTGATTAAGATATTCGAAACAAACCATAAATTGGACCTGAGTTTCAATAAAAAGTTAATTCGGACACCATTGATCGCTATATAAGCTTGTCCTCAACAAAGTTATGGCAAATTTTTTGGACTAAGTGTTTCAAGGATGAAGAACGTATCTTCGAGAGGTCTTAGAAACCACTATTACTTGCAGTCTGCTTGATTCAAACGAAAATCTCTTCAATTATTTTTTTTTCGTTCTTTGAAAAGTGATTTTATTCAGAGGAAGCATCGTCGTTCAATCATTGCAGTGAAATTGAAGAACGAGAATCGTGAAGATGAGTGCCAGATGATTTATTTGATTCAGTTTGTGTTCGACCCACAAATCGACACTCCACTTTGGGTAAGTCAACTATAATTTGAGTTAGTGATTGGAGCGAAAATCCCGATTAGAATACCCAGCTTGCTCGAGCCATATTTATTAATTATGTTCCCGCTTGCGGAAGCAAGCGTCTTGTAATCGGGAACTAGTCTTTTTTGTTCTAACAACTTTTCTCACCAATATTGAACCTGTTTTATTATTGAATCTTAATAACTTCGAATCCAGCCAGACCTTGATTTTTCTTTCAGTATGTATGCACTTAAAAAAATCCGGTAGAATTTGATTTGTCGTACTATCGTTTATCTTATCAAGTTCTCTCGGCTTAGTTGCCACATCAGGGATTTTTCTTAGTTGTCAGCAAGTATCATGGTAGTGTTTTTTCATTGTAGTGTTTGCTTCTCGTTCAATTACTTATTTAAAATTCAAATATCTTGCTGGGCATGTTTGAAAACTTTTCTACCGAACGATTTTCAAAAAGAGATAAATAGAAAAACCGCTTACTTCCTTGTGAGCCTGCATACTACCTAGTCTCCCTCTGTCTACGGCCTTCGAAAAAGTCTGTGGCTTTCGAAATTTGACCCATATTTTCGATTTTTTCATTTTCTCAAAAACTACTTTCCCAAAAGTGAGATTTTGGTTTCAATGAAAAAACGGGCTTTGGATAGCTCCCCTGCATTAGCTGCCACCCAGAAACTTTTTTAGACGAAAGTTATTACCCTTGGAAAATTCAAATTTTTTCTTTTTAAAAAATTTTTTTTTTTTTTTTTCAAAAAATGCCCTCCCATATGTCATCTAAGGTTCAAGCCAAAGAATTGCCCTTCTGAATCTCGAGAATTGCCCTCCTAAATCTGAATTTTTTGTACAATCAAAATCACAGGTTGTGTGAATTTCTTCTGCATAAGCGGCTACGATCAATTGTATTTACACAAAAATCTTCTCGGAAATGTCAAAATGTTGAATTTTGACTTTTTTTTGTTTTGTTTTCTCGATAACTATACTGCCAAATCTGTTCTTATACGTTTAATCGAAACAATAGGTTGCTGAAAGGCTACATTTATAATTGGCTACGCACAATTTTAGAAAAAAATGTTATGGCTTCCAAAAAGTCAGTTTTGAAACTTCGTTCGTTGTTTGGAAACTTTTTGACTCAAACGTGCCAAGTCTCAAATTAAATGTTCAATCGAAAAACCCAGTTTTGAGTGTGTTCTCTGCTTAAGCTGCCCTTGCCTGCTTTTTCAGAAAAAATTACGAATTTCGGTAAGTCAAGTTTTCGAACTTTTGACCGTTTCTTAGAAACTGTTTGAAGTTTCGTAAAAACTGCCTTATCAAAACTGAGATAAAAAGTTTTATTAAAAAACCGGTTGCGTTTGATGGAAGTAACCGGTTACGAGAAGCCGTGACTCTTTAATTTTTGTAATAGATTTTGTCAAAAATAATTACAAAATAATTTTGGGTTTTCAAAAATCGTTCAAATTGGTCCATCTCCGATAAAAAACTTTATTTGGAGCCAGAAAATTTGAGCTGATGCCATCTCCGATAAAAGACCTTATTTGGAGCCAGAAAAATTGAATGTCTAAATGCTGTGTTTTTCAGAAAGTTTTCCCCAAAAATTGCGGTTTTTATTGGCGCCTATATATAACAACTATATATTGCCGCCACATCGTAGAACTGTCTTTTTGTAGTTAAATTGTAACTGCTTTTCGTTTTCAGATTTTTTCTGTTTTCTTTTGCTTAAACACTTAATGCTGCCGAAATGATTTTGGTTCATTATTTTAAGAGTAATGAATATAGTGAGTACTCTTTAATAGCTCTTGGTATTTTCTTTGGTTTTTTTTTTCAGGAAATTCTGAAAGTTTGTTCACGTTCAATTTTGATTTTTCGCGGTTTGTCTTGAGATTTTTAAATTCAGTGCATTTCCATTGTTGAAAGGAAGATAAAACTCCAGTAACGAACAGCCAAATTGTTAAGGTCACGAAAAAGTGATCGACTTCTAATTTTGAAAATGGAAATTTTATGAGATTTCCCAGCGAAACAAAAGTTTTACCTATTGACCGTTTTCTCAAATTGGGTTGGTTTTAACAAAGAGTGTCCATCATAAATTGTTCTAAAAATTCAATGAGCTTTAGGGTCATCTATTTTTTTTCTTCGAAATTCAAAAGTTGAAGATTTTTGAAAAAACAAGTCAGTTTTTTTTTCAATTTTCTTGCGATCATTACTCTTTTCAAACTGTCAGTTGGCTATGGTATCGACTTAGTGACCTATTTTTGAGTCGTTTCAATGGGTACATATTTTTTATGCCCACCTCTGGAGCGCACAAAATAAAAAAAAATTTCGGAAATTAGTTTTTTTCATGACCATTGTTTTTGTTTGATGTTTTTTTTCGGCGACTTTCTTATTATTGATTTTTTCCGGCATAATAGGTTTCGGCCTATATTATATCGGATTAGTGGCCTCATGTTGTTTCACTCGACGAGCAAATGAAGTTTTGTGTCTGGGTGTGTTTTGAGGGTGAGAGGACTTATTACCTTTTATTAGTCATATTGATTTTTTTTTTCGGCTTAAGAGTTTCTGCTAAGGTATTTTTAATTTCGTTGCAGCTGTATAATTGTTTTTCCGATGCTAATTGCATATTTTGTTCTCTTGACATGTTTTTATTTCTAAGCTAGTTTCATTTATTTTGATAGATCTAGTTTTTTCGACATTTCCAACTTCGTGGCTTCGTTGTTTTGTATCGCAAGTGGTGCGTAGCTCAGCATCGCCCTTGTGTCATAATTATTCCGTCTCCTTTTTCGAACGTAGTAACAACACACCACCTGAACAACATTTTGAGCCTAGAATTTTTTGAGTTTAAAATGGTTTGAAACATTTTTTTCAGTCTTTTTTGCAATCCATCTATGTTTCGGTATTGCTCCGACATTTTTTACCAGCACGTTACTTAAGTGACGGGAAAGAACTATGAGTTAATTAATATTTTTTATAGTTTTCGCTCATTTTTGCTATTTAGGTTCCTCAAAAAGGTTAGCCAGTGGTTTTAGTTTTCACTCAATTTTGGCATGTAGGTACACCCAGGAAAGCGCAGGGGTCAAGTGTGGTATCATATTAAAGCCCTATTTTTTGTGATTTTGATTCCAAAAAAATAAAGTTGTCTCAGTGTCTTCAATTTTCTGTTTTTCAGACAAGGTGATACGAAATTTAACAAATATCACGATGAAAGTAATTTGTAAATGAATCGTCAATTTAATTTTCCTGCGATTTACTCATTAGCTTAGCTTTTATTTTGAGACAATAGACTAATTTCATTGCCCTTCACTGGAAAAAGGAAGAAAGTGAAAATAATATAAACAAAATGATTTTTTTCTTGTTTTTTGTAATTTTGGCTGGAGTTCATTGTGAAGATTCTGTGATATAGGTACAGCAAAAGATAGGTACTCATAGGTACTCATTAGCTTAGCTTTTATTTTGACGCAATAGACTAATTTCATTGCCCTTCACTGGAAAAAGGAAAAAAGTGAAAATAATAAAAACAAAATGATTTTTTTCTTGTTTTTTGTAATTTTGGCTGGAGTTCATTGTGAAGATTCTGTGATATAGGTACAGCAATAGACTATGTTGTGTCTATGTTAGGATTTTTGTTTTTTTTAGTCATTTTTCTGTCAGAAATTTTAAGTTAGAGCCTCGAACAACTACCGACATTTCGACTGAGAGACGGAGAAGCGTCTTAGTTACTTAATTTGAGTGTTTACCAAATTTTTTGGGTAGAACGCTGTTTTGTGAGATTGAAAATGGGCTGTTTTAAAGTCAGTTTTTGTAACATTGCTTTTTTGGGAGCTTTGAGAGGTTGAAATTATGATTGAACGCTTTTTCAATGCTATAGGACTGAAATGGACGCATTTGGCGTGATACAGCTTTTTTTTTTGCAGGTTGCTTTTTCTCGGCAGCTGGTAACTATGAAACAGAGCCTGTTACCGACACTGAAGACTAGATCTCCACAAGGATGGACTTTCTTCATCAGAAGTATCTTCGAAATATGCAAGAAGTAATTATTTTATTTTTTAGCTTGTCATTTCCGGTAATAAACGCAGTGAGTACTCCTATATAGGTCTTGCTGATTTTTTAAAGGAAAAAGTCTTAAAATTTGTTCACGCTCAGTTTTAATTTTCGCTGTTTGACTTGTAATTTTTTTTTTAAGTTCAGTGCATTTCTGTTGTTAAAAGGAAGGCAAACTCCACTATCGAACAGCAAAAGTGTAAAGGTCACGAAAAACGTGATTGACTTCTGATTTCGAAAATGGAAATTAATTATCAGATTTCTCAGCGAAATAAAAGTTATACGTATTGATCCAGTTTTCTCAAATTGGGTTAATTTTAACAAAAAGGTGTCCATCATAAATTGTTCTACAAATTCAAAGAGTTTTGAGGCCATTCATTTTTTTTCTTCGAAACCCAAAAAATGAAGGCTCTTGAAAAAAAAACAAGTCATTTTTTTTTCCAGTTTCCTTGTCTATTTTTTGTAATGAAGAAAAACGATGTTTTTGATATGACAGGGATCTTGCGTTAGGATGTCCTGACTGTAGCTTTACATATTGACACTGAAGCTGTTTCAGGCACATTGCCTATTGCTCTGAGAGGAATGAAGTGATGACTGCTTCTCTCAGAATGCTGGAGTTTCTGAGTCAGAACACCAATGCTTTGTCAGCCAACTCTGCCGAGAAGCTCTTCTCTATTGGTAAGTGACGTGACGTACTCATTAATCTAACTTTTTTATGCTCATCAGAAAAGCGATCAACATAAAGCTGTTTATAATTACGGCACGCATTTCTTTCACAGGTTATCATGAACGCTTTTTATTTGACGATTCAACAAATTCGCCCTATACGCGACCCGAAGGCTCTTTGGGGAGGCTCTATGACAAGTGGAAGTATCGAATCAGGATGATTATAATCGTAATGTCTTACATTTTTCAGGTTTCTTCACGACTCTTTTAGTCTCGCTTAAAAGCAAACTACCTGTGGCCATCATCGACGACAGTGAGGCATGCAAACGCACCGAGATGTACAAATTCATGCTGCAGATATTCAAAGCAGTCCTATCCGAAAACCCAACACAATCACACACGCGGGAGACAAGGCTGCTCCGAGAATTGTTTCTGTCTGAAAACGACGCAGAATATGCATTGCTGCTCACCTCTGATGTTGCTGTTATGATGAATAAGACCAATTTAGTTAGCTCATTTGAAGTCATGTTGAAATCCGATGTTGATTTAACTTCAACGCAGATTTGCGTATTGCTTAATTTGCTTCTCTCGGCTATAATGGGAGCCTCGGGGTCTAACAGTGACGTCATTAAGAGCGGCCAACTGGCTCTAGATAGTATTGGAGTTGAAAAATTGTGCTTTGCGCTGGCCTTTTTGACCCAGAAGTACGCAGACCTAGTTACTTGTAAAGCAGATGAAAAGCTGAGGTTAATGGATTTGGATTCAGACAGCGAAGACGATGAACAGACACATGAGCAAGTTAGTTAATCAGTAAAAAAATTGTTATTAAGAGTAAAAGAGCGTAGTGATTTTCTTTTATATAGGTCTTGATGATTTTTCTGTTATATTACCTATTGAATTAAGAAATTACCGATTGATCTAATTTTCTCTAAGTGGGATAGTTCTTAGAAGAAATGTCAAGCCAACAATTCTTGAAGAGTTTGTACGTGGTATATTTCTTAAAAGAGTCAAGGAACGTTGTGAACACTCTAATATAATTAGTGATGATTTTTTTTTGAGAATGTCCTAAAATTTATTCAAGCTCAAATTTGATTTTTCCCGGTTTGACTTTTGATTTCTGTCTGTTGGTTCTATGTTGTTTACACTTGCGATTGTAAGTGTCTTATATTCGGGTACAATATTTTTTTCCTGTAAACAATTTTTCGCCTCCTTTTGTCGTTTCTTAAGCGTATTAGAAAACAAATTTTTTTTTGCAGCTTTGCCTCTTTTATCGATTTTCATCAGATACTTTTATTTGCTCGCTTTAATTTGGAACGAGCATAGCTAAATTGTAGGTATCCATATATGTGGCGTTTTGTTTCTTCTGTCCAGTTTTGACGGTTGATCATAGGAACAGCTACATGACTGTTGATGTCCAGTCAATTATTACAATTAATACTGTGGCACGATGTCTCAATTATTTCAATGGCACGATGTCTTTTCAGTCCATGTTCTCTGCGACTGAGGAGCACCTGGTGCACTTGATCTCCTCCTACCTGGAGTCGCAGCTGTTTGTGTCATTCATATCCAGCTTGGCAGACCTTATGTCACCTTCATCCTTGTCATCTTCTAAACCAATGACGTCAGAGAGATCGACTGTGCATTTCTGCTCCTTTGTCTACAACCTCAACAGACTCAACTCAAAGTCAAGGTTAGATGAGATTCTAAGTTCGATTTTTGAGTTATTTATACCTTCTCTCAGACTATGCTATAAGTAAATGTGAGAGTGAATAAACCAACCGAAACTGCACAGAGTTTATAATGAAACCTACAATACAAGACTTTCGTAACTGTTACATGGTTGTAATAAAACTAATATGTAACAGTTAAGTATTTTCGACTGGGTTATACTTTGGCTGGTTCATATGCCATCACTTAATGTAGTGACTAAGATTTGAAAATCGAGATCTGGCCAAATAATTGTCGAAAATGGCAAAATTCTTGGATGCCAGAGTGATCAAATTTAAAGCATTAGGAAGGAAAACCTTTTACCCTCAAAGCTTTGAATAGAATTAATGTACATAGCAGCAAATTTCGTATTATGGAAAAATAGTCCGCGATATGATGTTTGACATGACATTCTGACAAGTTTACGGAAGGTCTATTGAAGCCCTCGGTCTGTATACTTTAGAGCCTTCTTCGCCTTGCCTTCCAAGAAGGGACTCATGAAGCAGATATGGAGGACTCTATCAAACATACAGGGACAGTCTTTGTCTGGGTGAGTTATCCGTATTCATTTTGTGAAATACGAAACTAATCAGGAAGACGAAAAAATGAGGTAAATTGGAGAGATCAGTTAAATCAAGTGGAAGAGCAAATCAAGTAAAGATGAGCTAAATCGGTTAAATTGTGTTTTGTGACGTGCACAGTAATTTTTCTTGGGGGAGCTGCCGGAATTTTGTTGACCTCTTTTTACTTGATCTTCCGCTGTAGCGGAGCGTGTAGTGCTCTACTCAAATTTGGCGCCAATAATTTTTTTAAGGGTTGTTCAACCAAAATAGACAGTGTTAAGTAGTAGCAAATGGGACGGACCGAGTATTCTCTGCTGGAAAAATCGGTCTGCTTAAAGACATAGCACCAGAAATTGAATAGATTTCGTTTAAGAAAGGGACTCTTTGTTTCAGTCAGAAGATTCCGATGTTGTCGCTATTGAAGAGTGGCCACCTCTCTCTGGGAGACAGTCACACGTGTCTTCCACTTCTCGCCTCCTTCTGTCGTTTCTTCAGTCTCCTCCTCATCACCCTCGACGACAAGGTTCCCATAGTACTTTATAATACGGTACAACTATGACAGACATGTCCCCGAAATAACCAGGTTCCTTATGAATATATCCTTATGTCGATTAATTACAAAGCTACCATTCAACAAAATTTAATAGTTCTGTAATGAATCAACCGTGAAAAAATCCTTAAGAAGGAAAAATTTGAAAGTTCCGGCTTAATCTGAGGCAGGTCTAATTTCTGCTCAAATATCAAATGTGCATCTTAATCGCACTTTTGACATGAATGGATTTTGTTAGTTAAATTTACTCAACTAACACTCTTTGATGCGTATTTTTTCTTCGCGATAAGCAAGACTGTTGCAATCGGGTACTGGACCTTTTTTTCGTAAAGAACTTTGTACACAAGACGTTACACGCGATTCAACTTGCTTCATAATAAATTCAAAGTCTATTAAACATCCAGAGCATCTGAAGAAGAAAGAACACTCCTGCTTGACACGACAAAGGCTTGCAGTTCGAAGCCGGTGGGGACTTGTTTTTTTTGCAAAGGAGAAATTTTCATCCTTTTTGGTCTCTTGTCCGTCTGTTATATTTTGTAGGCCTAGTTTCCGTTTATTGGTTGGTCGCGGTAAATGAGTCACAAATTTTTTGTCGAAATTTTAATGCATCTTCTGGATATTTGATTTTTGTTTTTTTTTGTTTGGATCAATTCAAAAAAAGTTTGAACGTTTTTGTAATTTATGGGTGGCTGCTCAATGTGCTGGGAATTTTTACGCCGCCATTTTTATGCTCGCTATTACAAAGAGTTAACAGTTCGGTGCATAGTGCTCTGCATGTAAACAACTTGTCCAACAAGAGCACAGAATTTTTTTTAAATCAAATCTCCGCTTTCGTCAATTAAGAGACATATGTTGAGCACATCTGTATTTCAAACAATGACTCTAATTGATATTGTTTTTTTAACGTGTTAGAATTTATCAATTCCGGTTTGGTATAGTTTCCGTTTTTTCCTTTTCATTTTTTGTTAACTCGCATATAACGAATCGGCCGAGTTGCCTCATTTTACTTCGTTTGATGGGTGAAAAAAGTTTTTTATGCAGGTGAGTCTTTTGAAATGGTACTTTGAAAAAGTAAAAAATGAGTTTTTTTATGAAAAGATTTGGCTCACGGTTTTTTTGGTGTCTACTCATTAATTGACGGCTTTGTTACCGCTTCGTGAGATCTGATCTCATGCAAATTTAGCGTTCGATTTTCTTGCTTGGTATAATTGTTTTAAAAAAGAAACATTCAAGAAAAATTGAGACAAAGATATGGAATTTTCCACAAAGATATGGAACATTCTAAAAAAATCGACTTTGCGATTTTCGTCTCTGTTTTTGTCTGCTAGTTTGTCATGCTATGTTTGTGTTGTATTGCAAGTTGTGCGGAGCTCTGCTTTGCCTCTGTGTTTTATTTTATGCTTTTTGTATTTTTGTTTGAGTTGCTATGGATCTCCTTGAGCCATCTAGAATAATTTGTTCAATAAATTTAGGAAGAGCCGATAGTATTTTGTTTAGGAGCTCTTCGATGGCCTCTCCTTTCCATTCTCAAAGCAGGAGACACTCAGTGTCATCGTACACCTAAAAGACTGTGCACTTGGCCTAATTGAAATCATTCACCCGGAAACGAAGTTCACGGCTCATAAGGGTCTCACAGAGAATATAAAACGGTGCTCGAATGTTCTAAAGGTAGGGAACATGAAAAAGAAAACTAACAACCATTTTTGGTATTAATAAAGAATAGTTTTTCGTGAGTTAAAAAAAGCTAGACCTGATAAAATTGATATGTCTGAACTGATAAGCCGAGAAAGAACTGTTGATGGGCCACAACTTAATTTTAATCATCATTTTAGCTTTTGTGCCAGCTCCTAAAGCAATTACATGAAAGGGACCAGAGAATAGAGTTCTCTCAGAATGAAAGTTTCTGGATCTCCTCCAAGTGTGCGATACCGAAAGCACCCAGCGACATGGCAAGTCTAAGTCACTACAACATTATTTTTCAAATCCGCAATAACGAAAGTTGACAGTTTGACTGGGCATCAATTCTCACAAAAATTGTGTTTTTACATGTAGCTAAAATAGTTTTATGTATTTATGTCACTCCCTTATTTGGACTGGGAAGTTAGCTGACTCAGTGTTTTCAGAAAGTTTCGTTTTTAGACAATTTGCGAGGCACTGAGACGTGGCGTTGATCTAGAACACATCCTATCATCCACTTATGCATCCCTGGACAACAAGAGTGGAATGGCAACAATGAACAAGAACATACCGATGCCCCTCAATGCCATGCATGACCTGGACCAGAGCAACATGCTCTCTGTGGTGTCCATGCGTGACAGGAGACTCTTAGTGGTGCTAACATGTTTGCCGTTCTTCATCTCGTTTCCAGAACGAATCAAGGTAGGCTTTGGAACGACGGAAAATTAGTTTGATAATAAACAAGATAGCAGGAGACCTGAAATTTAGTAGGTCTGGATGAGTTCTTTTGGAAAACAGAACTTTTAGAGTTTGAAAAAGAATGAACATTTAAAAAAAAAATCCTCAATCGTCAACCAAAATTTACAAAAATGGATACCTGATGGTTATATTTTGGTTTCTGCAGCTTTTCCGGAAGATCATTTCTCTGGACAAGTTGGAAGTGCATGAGAGGAGGCTTCCGATGGGAGCAGGCCCAGGTGACATCTCCATCAACATCAGACGCACTCATGTCTACGAGGACGCATTCGAATATCTCTCGCCCCAGAACGGTGAGAGTCGTCTGTTTCTGTTATCAAGTTCTGAGATATGAAATTTTCCATTTCTGCCTTTTTTAAACTTAACCATTGATGACTGGAAGTGAGTTTGAACATGAACGGTTTGAAAAAAAACAACATAATTTTATTAGAATTTAAGCCTTCTGATAGCATCATTTTCTTTCGTTTGTCATTATTCAGTTCGTATTGATTTTTTTCGGTTTTTTCTCAAAGTCTTGAAGTTTCACGCTCAAATTTCACGCTCAAAATTGCGAAACTCATCGCCCCGCCTGGTTTTATAATTCTAGAAGCGGTGACTATCATTTAAACGCTTCATTTTTTCAGAGCCCGACCTCCGAAAAAGAATACGGGTGACATGGCGCAATGTGACTGGCCTGGATGAAGCCGGCATAGATGGGGGAGGGATCACGAGGGACTTCCTGCAGGAACTGATCAAGGCCGCGTTCGACCCCAAGTTCGGTTTCTTCACTGCCACCCCTCAGGGTGCCTTCTACCCCTTCCCTCAAGTCACACAACTGATGGAAGCGTCAATGGCCAAGCAGCATTTCTACTTCATAGGCAGAATGGTCGGAAAGGTAAATAAATATTAGAATGAGAGAAATTATAAACCATAATATGAATGACATGGGTGTAGTTGGATCCCAAGTTTCCAATACGACTACGAGATCATATGTAGTTCAAATGTTTTTTGTTGAAACTAGTTTAAAATCAGGCAGAGGCATGAACAACTTGTTAATATGCGGTTTCATATTGATTGTCTATCTCTAAATTGTCTCAATCTATCATTCATTTCGTACAGTTTGCTCTTGTTCTTATATGGGTTACGAATCGTTTGATTCAAGCTCACAGTAGTTTCGGTTTTGTTTGAAATGACTGTGTTCTATTTCGAACTCACTTCGTAAATTAGTGGCGAGACTCAGATTTGTGGGCTTGCCCGCATTGACTTCATTTGCTTTATCGCAAATCAGTTGTTTTCACAATTAATCATGGTTATCTTTATCTATCTTCTCAGGATGAATCTGTTATGACTAGTTTCTTTCTTGAATTTGTAGGTGTTGTACGAGAATCTGTTGGTAGAGTTGCCTCTCGCCTCGTTCTTCCTTGCCAAGATCCTCTCCGGCCAAGTGGACATCAACTACTTGGCATCCATGGACGAGGAACTGCACCAGTGAGTTATACTATAAATACCAGAACAGTGTTAATGACTAGGTGCATTGTCACTTATTTAGGTCTTGCTTTTTTCACTTTTTTTTCAGGAGCAAAAATCCACTGAACTTTTGCTTGCGCTTAATTCAATACTTAGGTTGTTTGTTAAGAGTCAAGAACAGTGAATACTTTTATATAGGTCTTGGTGATTTTTTTGTTTGTTAAGAGTCGGTGAGCATAGTTGAGACACTTATATTCACTTTTTAGCTGTTTGACTTTTGACTTTTATTTCCTTTGTTGAAAGTTGATGCATTTTTAATTCATTAAGTGAACCGAAGAAAGCTATTTGTTCCAATTAACATAACAATATCAAAATCTCGATTTTAGAAGTATTCTAATTCAATATATCTCGCATTTTTTGAAATGCATAGTTTATACATAATGTAGTTTTATGATTTGCGATTTTTTACATGAAAAATTGTATCTTTTTGGGTTTGATGCTGCATCAAATTAGCAAGTTATTAGCATATGTAGCTTCATTATTGTTGGCTAGTTTTTGGGGATTTTAAGCATCTGTGGCTGAATGGTTAGTGCGTGAGACTTAAATTTGCTCGGTGGCATATTTTTGCTACTTCGAATTCGAGTTTTTGCAAATTCGAGGCTCATTTCTAGTTTTTCTTGTCAGTTGATAGAGCTGCTGTTTGCTCGTGTTCTCACAAGTGTTTGCGAAGCACAGCTTCGCCTCTGTATGAACAGTTACTTGTAAAGTCGGTGTGAAAGCACGAATGGTCTATCTATCCATTTTCGGCTTGGTCGGGGTTGCTTGATGGTTTGATCTACCGATGTGGAAGTTTAACTATAGCTCGTACAAGAAGGCAACGTGGTCAGCAAAAATTAATAACCGCTGCTTCAATCAAGGATCAGTAAAAAATTCAAAGAAGTTCGACCACTTTCAGGTTCATAAACTCTAATAATTTGGTGGTAATCACGGCTGAAAATTAGTATCGCTCGATATATTGGAATATTCGCTCCGTTTGACCGTTCGTAAGGAGAAAGACCACAGTCTATGTTTAGCCAGACCAATGAGACTCACAGGCAAAGTTTCTGCGGTTTTTTCGAGTCGATGAACTTATTATGGTCGTTTGAATGTTGAGTTCTTTCTAAGTTCACTTTATTTCCTTTGTTAAAAGGAAGGTAAACTCCACGATCGAACAGCAAAGTTGTAAATGTCACGGAAAATGTGATATACTTCTATTTCCGATTTTTTAAAATCAATTGTGTGCATTGACTCTTTTTCAACTGTCTGTTGGCTATGTTTCGCAATGTCATTTTTTTCAAAACTTTTTTTTTCTGCCTGCTGCTTTTTCTTGTCCAGTCTCAGCGTTGGCATTTGGTCAAACGTTCTGTGGTTACAACAGTTTCAACGGAAGTTTGTCTGTTTTGCCTTTCACGATGTCAAGTTTTTAGCTCATTTGCATATTAATCGTTTAGTATTAAACAAGTTGAGTTTTTCCAACGAAAGTTGCACTATTTTCTGCGCATTTAATTTTGCAAATATTCCTTTTATGTAAGCAGTATGAGCCGTAGAATTATCTTACTTTAAACACTTTCGCTGTTGTTTAATATTTGTAAAAGCACGAATGGTCTATCTTCGACTTGGTGGCAGTTGCTTGATGGTTTGATCTACCGATGTGGACGTTTTTCAAGACGTATTTTTTTGATGCCAACCATTTTTTCTCTTCTGTGTCAGTATTTATGGAAGTGTTCATTGATGCGTTTCAATGATTTTGGCAACTTTTTTTGGCCGAAAGTCTGTCGATTCAAGAGCTATATATTTTTCAAAAGGTGGGAAGCTGTTTTTCTAATGGTTTTCAATGTTATAGCTGTTTAACATTAAACATGACTGAGTTTTGCTGGAGCAATTTTTGTAGTCGTCTTATGAAAGTTGAGTTTTAAATGATAATAGCTAAATAATTTTGAGTAGCAAAAAGCTGACTGGTTATTCTCGACACCGACAAAACTGCCACTTGTCCGTTTTTTTTTATAAGAATCAGTGATACAAAATTTTACGCTCACTGACAGCAACATCGCATATAAAAGGCATTTGAATTAACGTTTGTAGACTAGTAAACGCAGTAGACTAGTTGTAAACTTTTCATATGTTAATTCTTGATTTGATAGTTGTTTTCAAAATACCATTCCGCAAACATAAGAGACTGTGAACAACAACTCATGGTGACAAATTGATGATATTCCAGGAATTTGCTGTCGCTGAAAGCTTACTCCGGGAATGTAGAAGACCTGACGTTGACCTTTTCGCGAACTCAAAGTGTGCTTGGAGAAGTTCAGGTAAGTTTACCTTTGAAATTGTAGTCACAACTGCGCCTCTCAAAAAATATAATTTCGAATAAAGATCGTACCCAATCCTTTTTGCTTGGTGAGCAAAAGTTTTGGTTTTTAAAAAGAAGAACCGCTTCCACCAAGAATCGGGAAAATTCAAAGAATTTAGACAACTTTCAGGTTCAGGAAATATAAACACTAATAATTTGGTAATCATGGGTGAAAGCAGTAGCGGATTTAGGGGGGGGGAGGACCTAACAAAACTCAAGCAATTTGGTTGACCTAAAAAAAGGTCGACAAAATTTTTATTTTTTTTTGAAAATCCCCCCCCCCCTCGAGAAATTCCTAGATCCGTGCCTGGCTGAAAGTTTGTATCACTCGTTAAAATTGGATTATTCGGTGAGTTAGACCGTTCCGTTCGTTAAGGAGAAAGACTCAAATCTATTTTTTTGTAGTCAGACCAATTAGGCTTGCAGGCAAAGTTTGGAAAGAAAAATGGGTTTAGCTTCGTGATGATTTGATTTTTCGCGGTTTGAATTTTGATTTCTTTTCAAGTTCAGTTCATTTCCTCTGTTGAAAGGATGGCAAACTCCACTTTCGAGCAGCGAAAGTGTAAAGGTCACAATCAACGTGATCGACTCCTAGTTTTGAAAGTGAATTTTAATTTTGCAGCGAATAAAACTTTACCTATTGATCCAGTTTTCTCAAATTGAGTTAATTTTACCTAATAGCTCTTCTCTTGTTGGCTCTTTTTGTAAAAGTTTGACGAATCATCGCGTTTTTCCGGCACAGTTCTCAAAAGTAGTATATTGGCGCTTTTGAACAAGCTGAGGGCTGCTCGACCAAAATTGGAATAATAATTGTAATAGTATCTGGGAGAGTTATCCTTAAATCTGCACCTGCAACAAACTGTTATGACGAAAAACAAGATCAACTGAATTGCTTCTAGCAATAAAATTAGTTCAAAAATTCTAATTTGGAATGGATTATTCAATTATAATATAAATTGGTTAAAAATTACTTTTTCCAGGATGTAGAGTTGATTCCCGGAGGCAAAGAAATTGTGGTGGACCATTCAAACAAGCTCTTCTACATCCATACGGCTGCTGACTTCTGGCTGAACAGACAAATAAAGACCCAATACACCAACTTCGTATCAGGACTGACGGACCTTATTTCGCTCAACTGGCTACGAATGTTCAATGCCACTGAGTTTCAGACTCTAATCTCCGGTGCCTCTATTTCAATCGACATCTCAGACATGCGACAGAATACAGTATACGCTGGTAGTGCCAATGAAGAGCCCTTAAGTGACTCGCACCCGTATGTTGAGAGTTTCTGGGAAGTTGTGTCGTCGTGGGACGATAAACACAAGTCGGATCTTCTGAAGTTTGTCACAAGTTGCAGCCGACCCCCATTGCTAGGTTTCAAAGAAATATTCCCGCCTATCGCGATTCATAGCGCAGGACCTTCCGAGGACCGACTTCCGACTGCAAGTGTGTGTATGAACGTGCTCAAGTTACCAGTGTTTCCTAATAAGGACATTCTTGAAGAGAAGCTTAAAATGGCCGTAGATTCAAAAAGTGGATTTGAACTAAGTTAACTTACTTAACGTTACCTGGACAGATTTAAAGCTATAATAATATGAAATGTATACAATTTAGTAATTAACTTGATGCAAAATATTAGAATTAACATATCAGTTTTTCGTCCCTGTGACGACGAACAAGATGAAGTTTTGCTCATACTTTAAATCAAGATGAAAGCCCGATTTTCTTTCGTACTTTAAATCCCAGAATAACACGGAAAGCTTCCCAATGGGACTAATAACCAGTTCCTGATCAACCATTTTAGGTATTTTCCTTAAAATCTGCCGTGAGCAGTGACACTTTTTCAAACATACTTTGAAACCATTTCTTCTCGACAGTAGAACAACAATCAAATTTTAAATTGGATTGTGAGTAACGACTGAAGAGCTCTAGCATGATCAATCACGCGCGACTCAATTTGATATTTTTATAACATCTTAATGCATCGAAAAAACAGTTTTATCCTCCAAAAGAGTTATCCCAAAACAGATAATTTGATGTAAATGTAGGTTAAATAGGTAGGTAGCAAGGATAAGTGTTCGCGTAAAAAAAAAACAAGTGAACAGTATTTCTAAAAATGTTTTGTTTTCTCTTCATTTACTAACGAATGCTGCTTGGTCATCATACGTGCCGGTAGGTTTTTTAAGTATTAATGAACGAAGAGATCCGACCACTAGTTTTGTTCGTGAAATTTAAGTATAAATGAAGGGACAAGCATTTGGTAATTGAGTCTCTTCAGCAAAGTACAAAAATAATTAACTTGATTAACTGTTAGCAGTTGTAAACTTTTGACTGGTGCAAAACAAAAGCCTTAGAACTTGATATTGGTGATGCGTGCGTCTGAATGTCATGCCATAGATTTTCGCGAGTTTTCGATTATTAAGAGTCAATGAACAAGAAGTTTTTTCACGGAAGTCTTAATAAATTTTGTGCAAGCTCAATTTTATTTTTCGCGGTTTGAATTTTTTTAAGAGTCAATGAACTTGGTGAAGACTCTTATTTAGCTCTGGACAATTTTTTAGCGTCTGACTCAAATTTGAGTTTTCGCGGTTCGAATTTTGATTTTTCTAAAGAGAAGAGTCAATGAACTGAATTTTGAGAAGTCCACCCAGAAATTACACGAATCAAGGTTTAATTTTGCAGTGAAAATAATTCGCTTTTGTAAAGGCAGTAAAAATAACCAAGGAACGCAATTAAACGGAAACAAAATACTGAATTGATTTTCGAACTCCATAAGAGGACGGCCTTGAAGCTCAAAACACTTTACGATTAACACTTTTTGGGATAAAACTAATTTAAGAAATATGATATGGTTCGATAAATAAATTTTATATTTCGCTTGAAAATCTGAAATAAAAATTTCATTTCAACTTCAGCTACGTGTTTTTTTCGTAAACGTTACACTAGCTGTTCACTAGTGGTGTTTGCTTTTCTTTTAACAAAGAAAATGGACTGAAACAAAAAAATGAATGTCAAACAGCTAAAAAAATAAATTGAGCCTGAACAAATTTGAGTTTTTCTAGATCCATATTTCTCAAATTGTGTTAAATTTATCCAAAAAGTGTCAATCATTGAGCGTTCTTGAATTTTACAGAGCTTCAAGGCCGTCTTTTTATGAACTTTGTAAATATTTTTTTTCTGTTTAATTGCGTTCGTTGAATTTTTTAGTCTTTAAAAAAGCAAATTAATTTTCTGCTGTAAAATTGAACCTTGTTAGCGTAATTTTGGGTTGACTTCTCAATATCATTAACTGGTCCAGGAGCAGCGAGATAATCAGGCGCTGAAATCATTTATTTAAATGCGGCAAGCAAAACAATCATTTTTTTGTCAGGAATTGAAGGTTTTTTTTGTGTCAATGAACGTATCAATGAAGTAAAGAAGAAAAGAGACTTATTTAGTCGTGCATTGTTAAATTTTTCAGGAAAAAAAAATTTGACACTCAATTTCTTTTCCGCTTTTGCTTGTGGTTGGAGCATTTTCCAGCTCATGTAGATTCTTGAAAATCAACACCGTCTTATGAACTTTGTAATTAATTAAGTTTTTTTTTCTGTTCCATTGCGTTCGTTGAATTTTTTTTAGTCTTTACAAAAGCAAATTAATTTTCTGCTGTAAAATTGAACCTTGTTAGCGTAATTTTGAGTTGACTTCTCAATATTGTTTACTGGTCCAGGAGCAGCGAGCTAGTCAGGCGCTGAAATCATTTTTTTCAAATGCGACAAGCAAAACAATCTTTTGCTTTGTCAGGAACTGAAGTGTTTTTTGTATCAATGAAGTAAAGAAGTAAAGAGACTTACTTAGTTGTGTATTGTTAAGTTTTTCAGGAAAAGAGAATTTTGACACTCTATTTCTTTTCCGCTTTTGCTTGTGGTTGAGCATTTTCCAGCTCATGTAGATTCTTAAAAATCAACACCGTCTTATGAACTTTGTAAAAAATTCAGTTTTTTTTTCCATTCAATTGCGTTCGTTGATTTTTTTTAGTCTTTACAAAAGCAAGTTAATTTTCTGCTTTAAAATTGAACCTTGTTAGCGTATTTTTGGGTTGACTTCTCAACATCGTTTTCTGGTCCAGGAGCAGCGAGCTAATCAGGCACTGAAATCATTTTTTTTTAAATGCGACAAGCAAAACAATCTTTTTTTTTGTCAGGAATTGAAGTTTTTTTTGTATCAATGAAGTAAAGAAGTAAAGAGACTTACTTAGTCGTGTATTGTTAAGTTTTTCAGGAAAAAAGAGTTTGACACTCTATTTTTTTCCCGCTTTTGCTTGTGGTTGGAGCATTTTCCAGCTCATGTAGATTCTTGAAAATCAACACCGTCTTATGAACTTTGTAAATAATTCAGTATTTTTTTTCTGTTCAATTGCGTTCGTTGATTTTTTTAGTCTTTACAAAAGCAAATTAATTTTCTGCTAAAAAATTGAACCTTGTTAGCGTAATTTTGGGTTGACTTCTCAATATCGTTCACTGGTCCAGGAGCAGCGAGCTAATCAGGCGCTGAAATCATTTATTTAAATGCGACAAGCAAAACAATCATTTTTTTGTCAGGAATTGAAGGTTTTTTTTGTGTCAATGAACCTATCAATGAAGTAAAGAACAAAAGAGACTTATTTAGTCGTGTATTTTTAAATCTTGCAGGAAACAATTTTTTTGACACTCAATTTCTTTTCCGCTTTTGCTTGTGGTTGGAGCATTTTCCAATTCATGTAGATTCTTGAAAATCAACACCGTCTTATGAACTTTGTAAATAATTCAGTATTTTTTTTCTGTTCAATTGCGTTCGTTGATTTTTTTAGTCTTTACAAAAGCAAGTTAACTTTCTGCTTTAAAATTGAACCTTGTTAGCGTAATTTTGGGTTGACTTCTCAACATCGTTTACTGGTCCAGGAGCAGCGAGCTAATCAGGCTCTGAAATCATTTTTTTTAAAAGCGACAAGCAAAACAATCTTTTTTTTGTCAGGAATTGAAATTTTTTTTGTGTCAATGAAGTAAAGAAGTAAAGAGACTTACTTAGTCGTGTATTGTTAAGTTTTTCAGGAAAAAAGAATTTGACACTCTATTTTTTTCCACTTTTGCTTGTGGTTGGAGCATTTTCCAGCTCATCTAGATTCTTGAAAATCAACACCGTCTTTTGAACTTTGTAAATAATTCAGTATTTTTTTTCTGTTCAATTGCGTTCGTTGATTTTTTTAGTCTTTACAAAAGCAAATTAATTTTCTGCTAAAAAATTGAACCTTGTTAGCGTAATTTTGGGTTGACTTCTCAATATCGTTTACTGGTCCAGGAGAAGCGAGCTAATCAGGCACTGAAATCATTTTTTTTAAATGCGACAAGCAAAACAATCTTTTTTTGGTCAGGAATTGAAGTTTTTTTTGTATCAATGAAGTAAAGAAGTAAAGAGACTTACTTAGTCTCGTATTGTTAAGTTTTTCAGGAAAAAAAAATTTGACACTCTATTTTTTTTCCGCTTTTGCTTGTGGTTGGAGCATTTTCCAGCTCATGTAGATTCTTGAAAATCAACACCGTCTTATGAACTTTGTAAATAATTCAGTATTTTTTTTCTGTTCAATTGCGTTCGTTGATTTTTTTAGTCTTTACAAAAGCAAGTTAATTTTCTGCTTTAAAATTGAACCTTGTTAGCGTAATTTTGAGTTGACTTCTCAACATCGTTTACTGGTCCAGGAGCAGCGAGCTAATCAGGCTCTGAAATCATTTTTTTAAAATGCGACAAGCAAAACAATCTTTTTTTTGTCAGGAATTGAAATTTTTTTTGTGTCAATGAAGTAAAGAAGTAAAGAGACTTACTTAGTCGTGTATTGTTAAGTTTTTCAGGAAAAAAGAATTTGACACTCTATTTTTTTTCCACTTTTGCTTGTGGTTGGAGCATTTTCCAGCTCATCTAGATTCTTGAAAATCAACACCGTCTTATGAACTTTGTAAATAATTCAGTATTTTTTTTCTGTTCAATTGCGTTCGTTGATTTTTTTAGTCTTTAGTCTTTACAAAATCAAATTAATTGTCTGCTAAAAAATTGAACCTTGTTAGCGTAATTTTGGGTTGACTTCTCAATATCGTTTACTGGTCCAGGAGCAGCGAGCTAATCAGGCACTGAAATCATTTTTTGTAAATGCGACAAGCAAAACAATCTTTTTTTTTGTCAGGAATTGAAGTTTTTTTTGTATCAATGAAGTAAAGAAGTAAAGAGACTTACTTAGTCTCGTATTGTTAAGTTTTTCAGGAAAAAAGAATTTGACACTCTATTTTTTTCCGCTTTTGCTTGTAGTTGGAGCATTTTCCAGCTCATGTAGATTCTTGAAAATCAACACCGTCTTATGAACTTTGTAAATAATTCAGTATTTTTTTTCTGTTCAATTGCGTTTGTTAATTTTTTTAGTCTTTACAAAAGCAAATTAATTTTCTGCTAAAAAATTGAACCTTGTTAGCGTAATTTTGGGTTGACTTCTCAATATCGTTTACTGGTCCAGGAGCAGCGAGCTAATCAGGCGCTGAAATCATTTATTTAAATGCGACAAGCAAAACAATCATTTTTTTGTCAGGAATTGAAGGGTTTTTTTGTCAATGAACGTATCAATGAAGTAAAGAACAAAAGAGACTTATTTAGTCGTGTATTTT